GAAAGCCACATATTTTATTCTGTCACTATGTAAGTGAAGAATAAAAATTGGAAATCTCCACTTATCCATTGTATTTTCCCCCTCCCCACCCAAATGTTTGCCCCCCCCCCCTCCTCCCCAATGGCCCGTCAATATGGTTTTTGGGCCCCCTCATAAAAAATTATTGACTCTGCCCCTAACCAGCTTTGCAAATGGTAGAGGAAGGAAATGGTGAAAAAGGAACCAACTCAAAATAAAAAAAAAAGGATAACTTATGGTATCAAGAGTTTCGTAAAGTTCCATTTTGGTGATAGTTGTACTGAATCAAATTGTTTTGTTAGTGAATAGAAATTTTAATTCTGTGGTAAAAAATTATACCTGAAGCACCATCTCCTTGAATTGGAAAGATTTCTCCAAAGCATTCAGGCATTGGGGGCCTGTTCTATTTTTTGGATTTTGAGTGGGGGAAAAGGTCAATGGGATTTTGGTTCTCATTGACCATGATACCCATGTTCTTTTTCAGATTTATGTGGGGTTTGCTGAAAATTTATTTTCCCTAGATATCACTTACCATCCTAGGTGGGAAAGTTGTCCACTTGTGGAGAAGTTGCCAAGTACCAACACTTGGATGAGACAAAATTGCCCCTTTTAATAATAGCTTTTATGGATAAAATGGCCATTTTCTTATTTATTTGAAAAATAAAAGAATAGAGATAAATGCACTTACCTAGGTTAGTATTTCCTAGGAAACACTTACTCTGGTAAGTAACTTCTTGAAAAGTGAATGGGTCCTAGAAGTCATGCATCCAATCACTTAGTAGGTGTTTGGCATCATTGTGATTTTCAAGTGATTCGGTTCTCAGAAAATCACCTAACGGTCAAAAAACGTTTCATGACCATTTCTTAGAAAATCTCATTTGGTTCTGTTTCATGCCACATCAGCAAGAAAAACGGTTTTCTAAAAGATGCATTTGGGAACATGGCATTTCTTTGTAGCACTTCCTCGTCTCTGAAATGATCCCATGCAACCCATGTGCATATGATGCACAAAATTATTCTAATTCAACAATATCAAAATACCTTGAAAAAAATGGCATAGTTGGTGTACAACGACAAGAAGAGAGGAATTGTGTTCTCTACATCTAGCTGGGAGGAGAGAGAAGAGAGCAAATCGGGAATACAACGACAAGAAGTGATGTTGCATGATCTGGTCGCTCCCTGCTGGATGACAGCTCGGATGGTGAGCTGAGTAGGTTGGCTGGCCGGGCTATAAAGAAAGAGAGATTAGAGTGTCCGGGATGCTCTCTCGGTGCGAGCACTTTGATGCTTAAGTCAGCAAAGAGTTTAAGAGAGCTAGAAAGCGAGAAAACAAGAGAGTTGAGAATGTTAAATCACATGTACCTTTTGTGGTAAAGGGGATGCCTTTATATAGGCACAAGAAACTAGGAGCTTCACATAGCACCTCTGAGATCCTTGGGAAGACGTGCCCACCATGCTTAGAGGCAGTTCCTCAGTCGGAAATGGAATCCATGTAGAGGGATAAGGCTTATTTGATTAGCTCCAAAGTAGGTGGCTTGGAGAGACGGGTCTGATGGTCAAGCAATGTAATCCCGGAGGAGTCGGGGACGACATCTCACTTATAGGAGATCGGTTGCCATGTCAAGCAGGTTGGTCATTGGGCCCCAATCAGGTCGGTCCGGTCTTGAGGGGAGGTCGCCCCTAATGTCGAAGTCCCTAGCTCGATTTTGATTAGGTCACCCCTAATGCCAAGGTCCCTAGCTCGGTCGTGATCAGGTCACCGGGTTCAATCTCCGAGGTAGCTCTGAGTTGTTCAATGTGTGAGAGTCTCCTTCGAGGTGCATCCAATGTGGCTCCGAGGTGTCAAACAATGGGTCAGAAGTGCCACATGGTGTGTTATCATTGGAGGGCCAAATTCTCCTTCATCAAAAAGAAAAAAGCAAATCAGAACCGACAATTTCTGGAGAATAACAAGAAGAAGAAAGCAACGAAGAACTGTGTTTACCTTGGTGAAGAAAACAACAAGAAGACCCTGAAAGATAACTCCCGTTTTCTTGTCGATGGAAGATAGAAGAAGACCCTAAAGAACAACTCCTGTTCAATGACTAATTGAAGGCTAACTAGAGGTTAGAAAACAAAAAACAGTGAAGAAGATACTGTAGCACTACTGGAACTGATGACGGGGACGAGAGGAACCCTCAACGGCTGCAAGAAGAGGAAGGGTTAAGCTGAAATTGAATGGGGTTTTTGTTTCCTTTGGGTGTATTCAACTCTTCGGTGCACATGCGAAGCACTGAATCAATTATTATCTGACGTGGCAAGTTGCCACATTGCGTTTCTGAATTGGTGGGCCGATGCAAAAACGTTTTTAGACCATTTTTCAGAAAAACGCAGTGCCAAACATGATTTTCACATCGATTCTGTTTATTTGCTGATAGGGGTGTCAATGGTATTCGAAAATCTGATTTCAAATTTGAGATTCGACATAATCGAAGAATTCGGATAATTCGAATATCTAATTGATCAAATTCAGATATCCTATTCATATCGAATAGCTAATTGGATTCGAATTCGGATATGACCTGATTCAATTCGATAAATATCCGAATTCGACTGATTTTTTAATTCTTAATATAATATATAAAAGTTTTAAATGTTTTATATAATCTATATATATATAATAATAATTAAATTATATAAATAAAATATTTATTAATTACCTAAATAATTATTTAGTCGAATTCAAATCAAATATTCAAATATTTAATCAGATTTGAATTCAAATATTAATTTTCAATATCCGTCGGACATTGAATTTGGATATTGCCTGATCCGATTCGAATTCAATCCATTTACACCCCTATTTATTTATATATCATTGCTACCACCTCAGCAAAAATGAATCATTAGAAAATCGCATCGGTGCCAAACAACTACTTACTGATTTCAGGTCCTCGGAGGAGTGTTCTCGTTCTAGGTGAGCTCATTTGTTTATGAAAACTTGTTGGTAAGATGAGATTAGGTTTATCACTAAAGGTTGTCATTGGTGATGCTCTCTTATAGAGCCTCAACCTAAATAGCCACTTTACCAGTTGGAACTTAATCTAAGAAGGGCAAAATAGGATTGTAAAGGTTTTTTAATGAATTCACATTTGACTTTCATCGATGGAGGATATGTTTAAGCCGACTAAATCAGCCTACAATTAAGCTATCTTTTAAGTCTTTATGAAAATACATTTAAGTCAACTTATATGGAAACAAGTCTTTTACCCTTAATTATATTTATATTAGTACAACTTCATTCATAACTGTAGCCCAAATTCATCCATCAATCAAGTCGACCAACCCAATCAAATTAAATGTTTACATTTCCAATTTATAACTAGTCAAGGCAAAAAATTTGAACTCTCAGGCTCAAACAAGGAGTACAAATACAAATAGTCAAATATGTAAATTGCAAAACCTTCTTTGTTGTATTATTTTGTATGTTTTTGTATTGTATATATTTATATTTGTATTATTTTCAAACTAAGTATGAGGTTGTGTTCAGTTGCAATGCAAATAAATTTGCCCGAGTTTTTTTTCATTTGCACTCCCATGCATTCCTTGTGGCCAACTTTGTATGAACTTTCTATATGTCGTTATTAATCCTATCACATTTATTTTGTGGGATTAGATTGCTAAACTTATCACCATGGCATCATTTGTTAACATCACAAAGAATGCAAAGAACTTGTCAGGAATCAATATAAGGATCCTAGGGTGTCATATAGAAAATTGCATGGAAGTAAAGATCTTGGAGCCCAAGATCACTGAAAAGCCATGATTCAAATTATACATGGAGAAATAAAGAAATGAAACCAAAGTGCAAGAATTTTTCACCATTGTTTGATTGCAGAAGTTCTTTTATTCTCCTACATCCATTTCTATATTTTGTTCTTCTTGAGAAATTGTATTTCGGTTCAGATTGACCTTTTTATAAATCTATATACTTGTATCAATTTCTTGAATGAATGAAATATGTTTTAAGCCTTTAAAAATAGTGAAAAAATTTAGGCCCCGTCACTTTTCTGAAAAATAGGGATGAATAAATTGATAGAGTTCAAATCAGCGCCCCACAAAAGTCTTACAGTACATCCTTGCCGTGTATTGGGAACACCTCCCGATGATGACATCATTATTTTTGATATTATCATCGAGAGATGTTCCCAATACAGGCGGGAATTGGGAATGTGCCGTAGGACATTGTGGGGGACTGATTTGATCTAAGTTGGTAGGTCCTATATAGAAGAAATAAATTTAGAGTCCTTTTTCTGGTTTTGGTGGGTCTTGCAGAAAAGAATGATTTACGAGTGATTCATAAAATTAATATTTTCCTTAAGGCAGTTGGACTCAGATAAATTGTATGTATACCAAAAATTGCTAACATGCGATAATATTGTCATTTCAATAATATCACTTTTTTTTGATAAATGATTATTATATACTTTTATTTGGAGAATAATAAAATACTGGAAAATAATATGGTCTGGACAAGTATTTTCTGAAAAAATTATTTGTCCAAATAAGTATATTTATCTAAATAAATTATTTAACGAAACATGAACGAGCTTAGGAGTTTTTTTTTTTTTTTTTTTTTGGCCTTAGGGTTTTTTTCGTAGCGTTTATCTTTCCAATATCGGGGTCTGCATCGATGATAATCTCCTTCCTTTATCCCATGGCGTCGATTGGAAGGACAAAAAAGAAAAATGAAACTGACTGTATAGTATAGAGTCTACGAGAGTAACGGATAAACGGAACTGCAAAGTGCGTATCTGAAGCAAATTAGTGTAGTTCATTGCATTATTGAATCATGTTCACTCGAGGGAGGGATATAATCATATAATCATTCAATAATGGTTGCTAAAGTGGGGGTGCGTAATGCGCCTAGGGCCCACTTATTTTTGGTATTTTCTACTTTATTTTATTTTTATATCATTAGCAGACGTTGGGACGATGGCATTTGGAGCAAATTGAAGTCTGAAGGGGGGGTGAAAGTTTAGAGACTTCCCCCTCCTTTGATATTCAAAATCATTTCCGAATCAGATCAGAGAGATAGAGAGACGGCCAGAGAGAGACAAGACGGGGAGAGAGAGAGAGAGAGATGAACAGAGTTTCAAGGTTCAGGAAGAAGGGCTCTTCTGCATCAGAAACGGTCGACCCGAGTAATGACGCGAAGAAGAAACTGAGTCCTCGGGATCCATTAAAGGAACTCAATAGCTTCAACAGCAGCGATAGTAGCAGTACTTCTCTGTCGATTGAAGCCCCGAGAGGTTGCTTAAGATTCCTTCTCTCTAACTCTTCTTCTAGGACCCCTCTTAACAGGCCTAAAACTCTTCAGAAAACACCCAAGTCAGCCCCAAATCCAAGACCCTCGAACTCGAAGCCCAGATGCAAACGTCCGGCAAAAAAGCAACCGAGCAAATCCTTCTCAGAAAACCCAGAAAAACCTATATCGCAGAACCCACAGAATGCTAAGAGAACTCCATGTCTCTATCAGTGGCAAAATGGTAAAAAGCCCGGTTTCAGAGCAACCCAACAACTCAAACCTCCACCAGGTTTGGGGAGCACTGGCACTCCTGCAAAGAAATCGACTTCTGGGCCTTGTTTGGAAGAGGAACCTGTTCAGAGTCAGAAGAAAATGCAGCAGCAGCAGCAGCAGCAGGAGCAATGGTCTACAGGGATGTTTGCTTATACAGGTGAGCCTTCTGAGCGAAGATTACTTAGTTCTGAAGCAGGTGAGAATGAAAATAGTACTCCAGTAAATAAGGTAGCATCTGGGCTGGGTTTGGGTTCTACACCTGGTAAGGCCTTGGAGGAGAACTCAACAACAACAACAACAACCACAACTCCTCCTGTTCAGGTTTCAATATCTCCAGAGCTCCAATGTGGGTCGTCTATGGTCTCAACTCCTGCTTGTTTTGCTGCCGGCCATGTTCTTTCTGGAGTCACTGACAAGAGGAAATGCAGGGCAAGAGGCATTCTCACTGTAGGAGAGGGTTTAGGGTTTAGTAAAGTTAGGGATTTCAATGGCACTGATGATGATAATGCTTTAGAGCTTGTCAACAATTCTAGGGCTTCTTTAATTCCTGCTCCTACTGAAGCTTCAATGCGTTGGCTCTTGTCCCCCTATGATGAAGAGGAGGATCATAAGGGCACATCTCCAAATGGGTCACCTGAATCTAGAAGATTGGTCGACCTTAGAGCACTATATTCACCTTCTTCACCTTCATCTGGTCATCGGCTTTCTTCAGATGTTTGTAACAATGATTATGGCAATGGTACCACTGCCACTAGGAGTGGTAGGTGGAGAAGGGGTTCTTTTGCTTCAAAAAGTGATCTCCCTGAATTTGAAGGGTTTGTGGGACCTATTCCATCAGTATCTCAAATTAGTCCCTTATCTGATAATTTGGTTGGTTTTAGTTCACCATGTACTGGTACTATTGCTGCTACCTGTGGTTTCAAGGCTGCTATGCCACCTGAAGGGAGAGGATACCGGTATGATCATGCAGCAGAGAATTCCCCATTCTCTTGGAATTCTCTGGGTAGTGGAAATATGATTTGCACCCCACAGTCTGGTTCAAGCTCAGATAGACGGCTTGGTTCATCATGGCTGAAGGCAAAGGATTATCAAGAGTGCCAGCTCGAACTTGATTCCATGGTGGATGCTTTAGCAGCTACAAGTTTGTCTCCTGAAAGCTGCATGACAATGCGCGATCCAGCTGATGTCTTGCCACTTCCTGGTTTAAGTTTCCAGTTTTCACACCCATCTACCCCTTCCAGTTCTATTGACCATTCGAAAATTTGGAAGCCTTGGAATGATTGGGCTTTGGGGATTTCAAGTTCTAGCCTTTCGAATGCATCACAATCGCAGATGAGGATATCATGGAGAGATGGACTTGTTAGTCGGATTTATGAGATGGATGAGTTAGATTGCTGTAGATGGTCAGATGAAGAAGAAGTTAACTGTTGTGATAACAGTCGTTATAACTTCAATTTCAGTCCTGAACTTGATCAGAAAGAAAGAAAAGATCTGTTGTCAACTGATGCTTGTGGGTCTCCTGAATTTGTATGTGAAGAACCAGTAATTGAGGGAAAAAGCAGACTGACGCTTCATCCTCAGATACCCAGTTCATGTGCAGAGTCTATAAGCACAGAAGGAGGTGGGCTGGTGGCATCAGAGGATTCTGATTGGACTCTGTGCTACAAAAACCAGTTATTTCAACCATAGAAACCTCTTTTTTTAGTCTCTGATTATTTCTTTTTGTAATCAGCTAACCCACAAGGCTGGGTTTCCAGATTGATGATTGAGAATCACCAATTGAGGACCACCCTAGCCATCTATACTATTGTAACCTGATTTGCACTTTGATGCAGTTGAGGATATTATAACTAGCATTCTTGTTCATTTCTTATATAATGCATTCCTACTCCCAGTTTCTCTGTGATGAAGATGTATTATGAGAAATTTCTAATTATGGTTTGCTATTCTTAGGCTCAATAGCTGTAAACAAAAGGTTCACCTTTCTTAGTGGTGGGACATTCATCCTTGTGGTGACAGTGCCTTGTTGGTATGGCTATGGATCTGCAGTTAGCAGATCTTAACCCATTATGGTACTCATTCTATATGGACCTCGTTTGTACATGGATACATCACCAACATGGTAATAACAGTACACTTGATGATCCGAGTAGGTCAGGAACTGGGTTGGTTGATGATATTTACCATTGTTAAGAAATCTGCATTTTCTGGACCCTCAAAACAGGTAATGTTAATCCTGTGGCAGGTTTGGGTTAGTTTCTGTAGCATATGTGCATAAGAACCAGATCCGGGCTGAATTGCTGAGTTTTCTTTCAAACTGACCAATTTGGGTTGATAATCTTGGATGACATGGGTAGATTAGAAAAGGCTTCTATAACCGTGTTTAGCTTTAAATTATGATCCACTCATCCCCTTTTCCTGTCTTGTGTTGGCTCATTTCTGATTCTCTCCTTCAAATATCGAGATAAAGATCCAAGTAGGGCTATAACGGATTTCAAATTCGATCTGATTATGGCAATTTGAATTTCATCCGTCTATAATTGGATCAACTATGGATCCACCCCAACCTGATCAGATATGATCAGTCCAAAAGTGGTTTTTTTATATGCTTATTATATCTACATAAAAGCAATTATCTAAAGGTAGAGTTGAATATTGTATGCTTAGTAGGTCACAGATTCTAGTCTACAAAATTTATTTTTATGTTCTTCATGATATATAATGTTAAGTTCATTTTGTTAATATACAATGTTTTCTTAATCATTAGTACCTGTCCTTTTTTACCTAATCCTGAAATGACACATGTATTGATGATTTTTTTGTTGGGTATTCCGTGTCATGCACCATTAATAATTTCTCCCTTCACTCCTTTTTCCCCAAAGTGCTGAGTGTCTAACACACCAATGAGCACAAACACCTTTATTTTTCCATGTGTATCGAACCAACATCATGTCAAAAAGCACAAAACACCTTTGACATGGATACATTTAAAGGACTGTCCCATAATCCTATTCACATGAGGGTTTGATTAGCCTCCCTTTTGATTTACTAATGCTACAAGATACCCAAATCCTGTCCAAGCCGCATCTGAATGGAAAAGATTTGCTTTGAGTTCAAATATTAATGGGTCGAGTATTGAATCTGATCAGTTTGCAGCCCTAGATGGAGTTCAATTTGGCTTCCTGATTGGAAACCATTATAGAGCATGGTTCTAACTTCTAAATATTGATACATGATGTTTGGCATTGATGCTGATTTCCCAAAAATTGGTGCCACATCGGAGTCACACGAGGATAAAGAAGAACCGGAGATTTTCAATCTGTTTGGTTGGTTGAATTTTGTGATCTTTGGGATAACGGCAGAAAAAATGATTCCTGAAATTGGCCCATCTTGAGGGATCACCATTTTTGGTCATTCCTCGATTTTTAGGTAACTCCAAATTTTGGAGGTATTAAGTATTAAACAAACTGCTTAGATGACATAAATGATACCAAACAATAATTTTGATGATTTTTCAAAAACCACCGATTTCTTAATAATCAGCAAAGAAAAATCATCATTAATGCCAAAAATCACCTTTGTGTTTAGATGGGCTAAAAAACCAATGTATATAGATCAGGAATGTGTTTGGTTCCGTTTACGTTTTTTCATTCAACATTTCTACTTTATTTGCTTGTAAAACCAAGAAAGATAATAATTACAACCGTTTATGACAACTAGGCACCACATTCGCGTAATAATGAAAAAACTCCTAATTGTTTGTAGAAGCTTTAAAAAGTAACTTTCCCAAATGGTAGACGTTAGATCTATTCATGGGTCGGGCCGGGCTTTCACTTGTCACTAATGAAAATATACTAGGCCCGAGCCCGAGCCTGGCCCGACCAACGGGCCTATAACTTGGGCCCAAGCCCGAAGCCCGACCTAATTGAAAAAAAAACAATTTTCCCTATTCAAATTAGAATTAAAAATTTAGATAGTATTTTTTTTTTCTATTTAAATGAACAATGGACCTACAAGATGTTATTTTTCCCTTTCTTTTATATTTTAAAACACAATTTTACATTCTTAAATCAAAAAATTTATTTAAATGGACATAATCACATAACTAATTTTAAGTTTAATATTAGGTCGGGCCGGGCCGGGCTCGGGCCGGGCTATTTTGACAAAACCCGAGCCCGGCTTGAATTTATTGCGGGCCGGGCTTTTTGGCCCGACTTTAAGACCGCGGGCCTATAAGCATGTTCAAGCCCGTCCGGGGGTCGGGCCAGGCCAGGCCAGCCCGTCGGGTCACCTGGCCCATGAACAGGTCTAGTAGACATGCACAAGAACCAAAGTCCACTTTTACCATTCTCGATGCATACAAAAAAGCAAGAATGGGGAACTGCTAAAGTGACAGAACCAAACACCCTGCAGTAGGGGTGTCAATTGGATTGGATTTGGTCCAATCCAGTTCAGTCCAATGTGAGTCCATAATAAATGGACCAAGTCCAATCCAATCCAATGAATGTTTTAGATCAATTTGGACCGGTCTGATTCAATGTTTAGACAGTCCAATCTGTTCAAATTCATTTTGATTTAGACTGGTTTCAACCCAAACCCCATCCATTGATACATATATTCTTATCTTATATCAATGGACTAGATATTGACTTAATCCAACCCAATCCAATATAAATTTATTACGGATGGATCAGGTCCAATTCAATCTAATAAATATTTTGGACCAGATTGGTCCAATCCAATATGTCTTGTTGATCCGTCCAATCCATCCAAATTGATTTTGGATTGGACGGGGTTTCAATCCAAAACCGGTCCATTTACATGGAAGTATGTTGCCTGAATATCGATAACTGCAAATTTTGGTTTCAATTGGAGGCATGCGTATCATCCAAAACTTCTAGTCATTTCTAGAGAAGTTTTGATAGATAGAATTTGCTGGAGGACATGTGGCTAACAGTGTGTGTGAATTATCCTAAAAACGGAGGGCAGGGGAGTGATGTGTCATGTTTGGGACTTGATCTTTCAGGCCAAGGCTTCTAACATGCCACGTGGCCAGCATTTTGGCCACATCGGACCAGGCTTGAGGCGTGATGACTCACCCACGAGAGACGCGCTCATTTTTCTTGATTCAGTTGACAGGGCTCTACAGGGTTCCATTGAAGGCGCCAGGCCACAGTCTCACCAAAGAAATGGGCCACCGTTTTGAATTGCCCAGAGTTCAACCTGATAAGTCCTTCAATACGATATTCAAACCACTCAAGCTATCCAGCTCAAATGTCTTATTTTTCTTCAACACTTCAACTATTCAAAGTAAAAGCCACCTTATTGTACGGTTTATGTTTTCTGATTTTTCTTCCACATGAGCTGAAAGCTATAATTTCCTTTCTCTCTCTCTCTCTCTTTTCTTAAGCCAAACTGAAACTTATAATTAAATTCAATTCTCTCTCTTACTCTCACATACTGCAGCTCTGCAAATTGGTCTCCATAGCGCTCTAGCATTCTGGCCCTTTGGGAGGGATAGACCTGTTTATGGACCGGGTTTTGAACACAACTTTACACTTTTTAGGCTCACGTTTGGAATTGGGCCCATTAAAATGTTGGCAAAAGTCAAGCCCGATCCTAACCCATGAACAACTATTGGGAGAATAGAAGTATAGCGAACTTAAATTTTCCAAGAGTGGTCTCCACTTAAACAGTCCATAAATTATACTTGATAAAAAAATAAAAAATAAAAAGAGAACAAATCTGAAGGGCTATCACTTTAGCCTCTTTAAATAACTTATCCAGAGTACTACAAAGCAAATTGAACCAGCTTAGTTGGATATGCAGCTCAGCCCTACCAAACGGGCCCTGTGTGAGTTTCTATATTTTCATATTGTCATCATTGAAGCTTGTTGCATCCATATGTGGTTGGCCATATAAATCCTGTTCCGCCATTCCCTTCTGTGACTATGGGCCCATAAATCTTTTTTTAATTACTTACACTCATGTCCGCCCTTCTTATTCTTGGTCTATCCCTGGTTTTTCTGGCCCCTTTTTTTGGGTCTATATGCTTTTTAGTTTTGACTGATGCGTTCATTAGTAATCATTATTTGAAGCAATAAGGGCTTATCCCTTTGGGTAATCTTCATCATTGCATCTGTAGCTTCATGGGCTTAGTTTCTCTTTTTTCTACGGATAAGAAAGCTCAAAGAAATAGCCAAAAAGTTAACAGAGTTAGCGGTTTGTACTTGTACAAAGGTAATACGGCTGCTTGCAAATAAGTATTAAAGCCTCTTAGGCCAAACAACTTTCTGTAGCACAGTTATCAATCTAAAGTATTTGGGCCCGGCCTCACTAATTACATGTTTTTTTTTTGGAAAGATAAAGGTTACTATATTAGAGAGCTAAAATATTTACGAAGTCATTTACCCTCGGATTTGGTCCAATCCAGTCCAGTCTAATGTGAATCTATAATAAATGGATCAGGTCCAATCTAATCCAATGAATGTTTTAGACCAATTTGGATTGGTCTAATTCAATGTCTGGATCGTCTAATCTGTTCAAATTCATTTTGATTTAGATTGGTTCCAACTCAAATCCAGTTCATTGACACATATATTCTTATCTTATATCAATAGACCAGATATTGGCTGAATCCAACCCAATCTAATATAAATTTGTTATGGATGGACCAGGTCCAATCCAATCTAATAAATATTTTGAACTGGATTGGTCCAATCCAATATGTCTTGTTGGTCCATCCAATCTGTCCAAATTAATTTTGGACTGGACGGGGTCCAATCCAAAACTGGTCCATCGACACCCTTACCCTCGGAGTCCCAACAAGATAGTCATACATAACAAAATAAAGGGTGAGAATGCAATTTAGCCATTTGGGACATCGTGTGGGCAGGAACATTATAAGTTCGATTTACAAAATAAAACTTCACATTAGAAAGGTTCATAACTAAGTTTCTGGTCTTTAACAAAAGCCAAGGCACGACCAGGGCAAATCTGTTGTCTTCTGTAAGGCTCGAACTATCTATTGTGCACCAGAATATATAAAGATATCTTCACAATTCCAGTTCTGGATTTCTGTTGAGGCTTGCATGATAGCAACAAATTCAACTTGATCAATAGAGGTAATAGTGGAAGTTCGGCCTCCTATAATTTTAAACAGGATAAATGATAGTATGATAATGTCAAAATTGAATAAAGAGTCGGATATTTTTCCTGCATATCAATAATAAAGATAATTAAATCAGTAGATTGATTGACAGGAAGTAAACATTTTTGAATAGTGGAATGCACATATTTGATAATGGTTGTTTGTCAAAGAAATGCTGCCACTCCAATACTATTCAATACCATATAGGTGTTCTGCTTCTTTATATGAGTTTAGATAGGCGCCCCACATTCACATCTCAGCATATATTAGGAATATCTACCGCATTTGTCATTTTGAGGTGTTATTAATACACGGTTGGGATGTGCAGATGCAAATTCCTATAATAATAAGATATTGTGCATTAGATTCTATATACTTTACTACCCATTTTTACATTTTCCAAGGCGATTTGATTGAAAAATGACCATGGTACCAAATAGGCAAATATAGCCTAAATAAATAGGCTGGGCTTACTTCAAAAAAAAGAAAAAAAAAGGGAAAACAATAGAGCTCAAGCCATCATTCCTCACATCTCACTTGGTCGTTCAATCAAAGGCCTGATGATTAAAGGCCAAAATAATGTAGGCCCATCCTGGGCATAAGATCAGGGATCATGTCCATGGGATAGGCCCAAAATGTCAGACCGGTCAACCTGGTGACCAGCCGGTTGAACCTTTCGATTTAATCAGAAGCACATTACATATCAGACCTTCTTAATAATAAAATATCCTTTATTTACAGTAAAATCCTGAAAGCCTAACTACATCCAATGTGTCAAACCTAATATCCGTCCAAGTCCTTTGTTTTTTTTTCTGTATTTTTAGCTTTTTTATCATTAATAGCATTGATTGTTATTTGTTAAGTTTTTTTTGCTTAATATGATGAGTATATAATATTAGAAAAATGATTTTTTTTAAAAAAAAAAATCATTTAAATTTCTACATTTTCTCTATTTTATATTTTTAAAATTTATTATATAATTTATGATATTACAGATTGACCCATTTAGTCTAAGTGGTTCTTTAGGTTATTTTTCAAAACATTGTTACAAACAACAAAATAAAAAAAAAAAAGCAAATGCATAGGGCTAGGGATGTTATGTCTCTTATTTTTTTCTTTTTTCAATACTATCCCATCTCTCTCTTTCCATGGATTGCATGTGAAATGCATGTTGCCATGTGACTAGTAATAGACATCGGTATTAGTTGATAAAGTCCACTTCTAGGACTTGGATTGGAAATTTTCCGCTCAACTCCATTAATTTATCTCCTTTTCTACTTCTACAAGCCACATTGACACACATATTGGGATTTTATATTTAAACTAATGTATGGAAAAAGACCACACACGAGATCCAACAAATCTAATGTTACACATTACTTTCCAATCTAATAAACTGCACAGGATAATTAACTTAAGAATGAAGGAAACCCCAAAAGAGTGGTCGAATTCTTTCTCCTTAACTAATACTTATCCTCATTGGTGATACTAGAAAGTGGATGATATAGAGAAAGCTCTCTGAATGTCCCTACATGATGACAAGTAGTGTCATGAAGTCATGAACTGACCAACCCCAAGGTTTTTGTTATTCTCCCATTAAAATGTTGATATATTCAATAAGACCTAAATTTATATATCCCTTTGATGATTTGAGTTCTAGCTATCATTTCCTTTTTTAGATTCCTCCCTCTCTCTCTCTTTCTGTCTATCTAGTGTTACTAAGTGTGTGGCAATAATCAGTTTTACAAACCATATTAATTCAACAAATCACATCTTGGGTTCTACAAACCATCTTGATTCAACATCATTGTCAAGAGTTCAACGTAGCATCATCCTTTGACAAATCTGGATGACCCGGATGAAACAAATTTTGTTTGAATCTTCTCCCTTCAATCTGCATCAAATTATCCCTGTTGCACATGCAAATATGGACTTAATTATGATATAAATCAATTGAGAAATCATACTGTACAAGATATGCCTAGCAATGATCAGTTTATCACCTAACAACCTACCCTTTCTCCTCCAATAGATCAAGAACATATATACTTCCTTTGGCACAAAACCATGCTTTAATCTTGCAACTTTTATATCCAAGAAGTACTTCAACTTATCAAGGTCCTTTTGTGTGAAAGTGATATTGTAGAAAGACTTTTTAATGTATCAAGTCCCAATCTATCATTGTTAGATATAAAAATATCATCTACATATACCACCAACAAAGGTGCCATTTGGCAAGTCTTTTTTGGAAGGTCTTCTGGAAGATCTAATAGCCAAAAGACATAGTGAGCTTCTACATAATGATTTTGGCAGCCCAAAGATCGTTTTGTTGGAGGCATGTCTTTCCACACGAAGACGAGACTTAAGTAAGCGAAAAGTTCCATTTCCAGCTTCCTAAAATAAGCTTGAATTGAGCTTCTCGTGCATTTTTAGGGAAAGATATTCCCCCAACCAAATGGAGGAACAGAAAATGAACTGCCGGGCTTCTAAAAAGTCGACAACCCACATGAAAAGATGTGCTAAACGAGGCAAAAATCTTTTCAACCTTAGAATTATAGCTGAATATTGAGTAATCAACTTGACAATGTCTCATATCAATTCTTTTACTACTTCATTGGATTTGCCAAACCAAACTCGAGGAGGTTGTTTTACTACTTCACTGAATATTGGTGATGGGTAGTAGAAAGGTTAAGAATTGAAGCATAATTGAATATCATGTGTTAGCACCCGATTTTTGCTCAGTTCACCACTTCTACCTCCAATTCACCCTAAACACCCGATCAGACTCATCCGACTTCTCTAAAACACCCAAAAACCCAGCCCTAGAGCCCTCAGATTCATCGTCGAACTTGCTTGATACCTATTCAATGGCCCCCAATCGACCCTCACTTACACCTAAACCATTAGATCAGACACAACCACCAGACCTAGGACCTCTAAAAACACCTACCTATAAAATTTCAACTCAAGATTCCCCTATTTACCCCTCATCAAATGAAGATTCCATTTCGATTTCTCTAGTTAGCTACACCATTAGACTCTAGACACACCAAAACACCTGCCCATGAAATTTCAACCTCAGATTCCCTCATTTGCCCTTCCATCAAACCAAGATCCCACTCTAAAATAACCCATTGACCCAAATTCCTACAATCTCGACCCTCTAAGATTGATCAGATCTCATCATCAGATCCCGGACACCCCCAAATACCCACATATGAAATTTCAGCCTAAAACACCTCCATTTACCTTTAATCACACAAAGATTCTGTTTGGATACCTCCGAATTAACCAAACCAAACCTTTTTCAAATCTGCCCGGTCTAGGACCATTTGGTCCAACCCAACCCCACCAAACAACTCAAGATCTCCAAAAACCCCACCCTACAAAATTTCAGCCAAAAATACCCTCGTTAACCCTTCTATCCAAAAAGTTCATTTCGGTCAATCCTGCTAGCTTATACACACAAACCCCCCTCTGTGGTCAGACTCATCTCAACCCTCCATCTTTGACCCAAAATCTTAGCCATCCACCTAGAACCTCGGTATGACCACCCTTTGACCCGGTTTGACTAGACTTTCCTAAAATTACAAAAATACCCCTCAAATTACAAAATACTATGAAAACGCCCCTACCTCTCATATAAATCCAATCTAATCTTTTTATTCGCCTTAAACCAAGAATTTGAAAGGAGACAATATTCATCTTCCCCTCGATTCGAACACTGAACTAGCGACGAAGCGACAACAACCCCCATCTCCGGCCTTCATCATCTTCTTCTTCTTCTCTTCCCTCCCTTTTCCCTCTGCTCCCCGCTTTGTCGTCGCCGCTGCAACGGCGGATTTGTACCCAGGGCTCGGCAGCGACAAAACCCCATAAGATCTCCCGCTACGGATCTCTCTCTCTCTCTCTCTCTCTCTTTCTCTCCCATTATTTCTCCTCTTTATTTCTAAGTTCAAACACCTCTCCTTCCCCTACTCTCGATTTGAACTTCACCGCCGCAGCTGCAACTTCCAGCGACAGCGGTGATGTTCCCTCTATACCTCTCTCATTTTCTCACAACCTCTCATCATTCCCCCTCATTCTCTCATTGTTTTCCCACTCTTTTCATGATCCCCCATCCTCTGTTCTTTCTTTATCGTATCTCCACCCGAACCACCAATCTCCACCGTTTTCCGCTGTGACAACCTGATCAAACTGCCATTTCCAACAACGAATTCAACCCCCCTCCACCTCTGGTGGTGGAACTCATCTCCAGTATCCTGAAATCGACACAGATCTTCTCTGTTTTCGTCACTAATCTCATGATCAAGCTCCGTGAAGTTTGAAGAAGAGTGATGTGCACCCGTAGCAAATCCGCCTTCCCACTTCCCTGCCTCATCAATTCATTATAAGGCCCAAATCCGATCAGGTAACTCTATCATTACCCCCTTTGTGTGATTTTTTTCTTTTTTCTTCCTATTTTTTTGGGTTTTATCATCTTATATCTTGCTATTGTTTTGATCTAAGGAAAGGGAAAACTGATGGAGTCGGTGATGAAGTTCCACCAAATCGGCTTCTGTAGGCTCTGTACTCTCACCCAGTTCTGTCATAGATTTTCCTTGTATGTAGTAATCATCTTAAATGCATTTTGCTATGAAATTACCAGTTCTGTCATAGTTTCGGTTGTTTCCTTACGTCTATGTGTTAATTAGATTATAGTTTCTTTGTGCTCAGTTATTTTAATAAGTTAAGTAGTTGTTGGAATTTAGTTGGGTAGGTTTATTGTTCTTGTTTGTTATTGTGTTTTTCATTTGGTTAATTGATTGTTATTATGCTTGATTAGGATACCATGTGGGCCCCACCTATTGGACCCGGGAGAGGGGTGCCTAATCCCTTCCCTCTCCCATTCGAGTCTTACCTGGACTAGCCGAATCGGTCCCTTGGGTTATTGGAGTCACTATTAAAGCGAACTGTTTTGAAAATCATTCTTGGAGGTCCCATTACCTCCATTTCCTAAACTGGTGGGTGGTGACTCCATTTTCTTGCCTAAGTGGCAAGTGAGCCAATTTTTTCGATGCTCACAACAAATTATAGCTGAATGTTGAGTAATCAACCTGACACTGTCTCATATCAAATTCTTTTCCTACTTTATTGGATTTGCCTAACCAAACTCGAGGAGATTGTTTTACTACTTCACTGAATATTGGTGGTGGGTAGTAGAAAGGTTAAGAACTGAAACATAATTAAATATCATGTGAAAAGTACACAACATTTATGCAAAGCAATGGGAAGGTCAAGTTCAAAAGTAGGAGGCAATACAGGGGTAGGATTTCTCGACAAAGAAGAAATAAGGGGTGGAGTCGATGTCTGCTGACGAGTATATACTTGCTTGATTGGTGGTCATTCAGCATGTGTCTACATTGGAGGAGGTGAAGGCTTGGACTCCAATTGGAATAGTAGGGATGGCATCATCAACTTGAACTCAAAGAGGAACCATTCGAGTTGGAGGAGAGGAAAAAATGTAAGCACTATTGAAAAATGAAACCAACTCAAAAAAGATAAAATCAGGGCAAACAAATGATCGTTGAGTGAGAGGACTATGGCACTTATAAGCTTTTTGAGTCCTATAATAGCAAAAGAAGATAGACTTTGTATAGTGTTCATCCAACTTGTCAAATCCAAGTCCAAGATTTTAAACAAGGCACATATAACCAAAGGTTATTTGAGTTAAAGGAAATAGAGATGAAGTAGGGAACAAAATAAAGAAGGGAGAACAACCATAAAGGATGAATGAAGGCATTCAATTAATGAGAAAACAAGTAATAAACACGACATCACTCCAAAACCATTTTCATTTGATGTAGAAGGGACCGAACTGTCTTAAGTAAATGTTGGTTCTTTTGTTCAACCACCCAATTTTGTCATAGAATGTATGTATAAGGAATTAAAACAAAAGATTTTTATTAGAACACCAAACTTGGTGCGAATTTTTAGCATGAATTTTTTAAAAAATAGAGAATAATTCACTTGTTTCTTTTATAATTTAAATCAATCATGCTTGAATAGTCATTGATGAAAATTACAAAACACTTGTAACCATTATAAGATACAATTTTATTTGGACCCCAAACATTTGAATGGACTAAAGCAAAAAGACTTAATACATGATGATTGATTCTAGGACCAAAGGAAACCCAATGGTGTTTCCCATACAAACTTGACTCACATTGTAGTGATAAAAGATAACTCAATAACGTAACAAGTAATTTGAGAGCTTTAAGAGATAGATAACTAAGCTTGTGATGCCACTAGATATGAGTAAGGGAGGAAAGAAGTGCTATTGTAGGGTCATCACCATCAAGATAATACAGTCTATTAGTTTTATGCCCTCCACCAATTTTCTTTTTCGTCTTAAGATCCCTAAAAACACAAAAAGAAGGGTAAAAACTCCTGGAACAAATAAAGGACTTGATTAATTTACTAGTAAACATAAGATTAAATGGAATTTAGGCACCTATAAAATAGATGATAAAGATAGAGATGCAATGTCAACATTATCAACACCACAAGTGGGAGATGTAAAACCATTTGCTAAAGTAACAATATGTGAGGTGGAGGATAGAGAGAGGGAAGAAAACACACCTAGGGTCTATTCGTTTTTTGGATTTTGAGGAGGGCGGGGGGTGGAGTTGGTAAATAGGATTTTGGTTCTCATTGACAAAGACACTTATGTTAATTTTTTCAAATTTATGTAAAGTTTGTGGAAAATTTATTTTATCGAGTTTCACTTACCCAAGTAAGTGGTACCTATCTTCCATGTGGAAAAATAACTTTCCCACCTAGGGGAAAAGTTTCAAACATTTGGATGGAATAAAATTTCCCCTTTTAATTCTGGATTTTTGTGGCTAAAATTATCATTATCTTATTTACATGGGAAATAAAAGAACATGAGTAAATGAACTTACCCGAATAAGGGTAAGGGTAAGGGTAACTGTTTGAATGCTGGGATGTATAGGGAACACTCATCATCTCCTTTCAAACACAAATGTAGAAGGTGTTTGATTAGTCTACTGGTTATCGCCCACTTCACTATCACCAATCACAACATGATTGGCCTATGTAGAAGGTGGTCCATGTAGATCATAACATAAATTAATTGTATGTCCCTCCATTTCACAATAGGTAAACTTTGTATGGCAATTACCTTGTCCTCTACTACATCATCTCCCTGTAGCCCAACCTTCACTACCTTTACCACCTTGACTAAACATAGGACCATTGTGACCTCCTCTAACTCTATGACCACCACCTCGATTTTCATAGCTTCCCCCACTTGCTGTAACAATTGCTAACTTATTAGAACTAGTAGTGCTTTCTATAGGTCCAAGTGAAATCCTAATTAAGAAGTTAAGCAAACACCTCATCAAGAAAGGGAAGAGTAGAACCACCCAATATCTATGCTTTAATTGGCTCGTATTCTGACTTCAAATCCATCAGAAATTTGGTCATGCCAAGTTTCTTCCTCTATCATTGAATTTTAAAATATGAGGTTAAGGGATGATAGAGATTAGTTCATTCCTAACGTTTCTCATACTAGCAGAGTACCTTTCATGACTTTGATTTCCTTGTTGCAAATTGAAATACTCTTAGTAGAGCCAACATACTCTTATAGTGTTATCCTAATCAGAGTAAAGTTTCTTAGCATGATCCCATATCTCCTTAGCTGCATTTAAGTATATAAAGTTTACACTTATTTTGGGCTCCATACTGTTCCACAACTATGTCATAATTTGAGCATCTTCTTGCTCCCAATCACTATACCCTTGAAATTCAGTTAAGAGTTTTTCATCCTTTACATGCTTTACTTTCTTCTTAACCCTAAGAAAAACCTTTATTGGTTTGGTTCTTTAGCCCATGGCACATAATTCTCACCATTAAGTTTGATTGATGTCATTTGCATAAGTAGATAATCAGGGGGTATCATCACATTTTATTTTTGATCACTATTAGTATCTCCTATTGTTGCATAATGTTGTCTACTCAATAACTATCAACACCATCACTATTATTTTGCTACCAACTCACATACACACATATACATAGCCACACACACACAAAAGGCTATTACTTAGGCATTACAACATTTCACTCACCTCCTAACAACACCTTCTAGTCCATATAGAAAGGATAGACATGTAAGAACACCACCTGGAATGCATTCAACAACTTTCTCCACCACAAAATGCAACTAAGACTTCAACCAACATCAACATTGTTAATTGACTAGGAAAGGCCTTGCTGAAACTAAATTGAGGGCTCAAACTACCACATAAACCACCACTTTATCACTAAGACTTTCACTCATCATGATAGAAGTCCTCGGATTGTTGGAATAAGGTTGCCATAGGTTCTTATTGTCCCTTATCATACTATGTAACCCAAAAAAGAAGGAAAAGAAAGGAGAGATGTGTTTTAATATTTCAGTCCTTGTATTGCAATTGCAGGTAACAAAGAGAAGAGAAAAAGAAAAGGGGAGAAAGAGAGAAGAGAGAAGAGAGAAGAAGAAAAAGAAGAAAAATAAGGATTCAGATTAAAGGGAATTAATTTTCTCTTAATCAACCACAAGCTTATATAAATAGCTAAGCTTACAATAACTAATATGCCCCTACTTAAGTGTGGGGAGATGTAACTTAAAGTAAGACAAAAGTGATAAAGCACCACTTAATAAAAGATAAAAGACCAAATTAACCCTGTTTAGTCGACTTTTATAGAGTTCTTAATGGGCTTTAATTTTTAGTGAGTTACATTAGTTAAGGTTGGTTGTAAATGAATGAGTTGATTTTTAGTTAATTAAGCTAATTGATGTGGGTTTTAGGTATTTACCAAAAAATAAATGGGGCATAAGAGTCTTTGATGGGTTTTAGTGAATTACACTAGTTGAGGTTGATTGTAAATGAGTTAGTTGATTTTTAAGAGTCCCAATGAATCCACAATTCAAATTCGTGCCTCTCCATAAAATTTCAACCCAAGACTTGCCCATTTACCCATCCATCAAGCTAAGATTTCATTCTAAGCGCTTTCATTGGCCACTATTCTCTTATTTCAAAATCTTCATCATAGTACACTATCTCAAAACCCCAAACCTTATCAAAGCCTTCATCAACCTTTTGATTGACTACCCACCAAATCATAAATCTCCATCCTAACACCTCTCTTAAGACTTCCAAACCTCACCGAAGCCTCCATCAACTTCATGATCAACTATACACTAAATTTTAGACCTCAAAATATCCATGTTACCCTTCATTTAAAAGGATTCCAAATAAACCACTCTTATTTATCGTTCATCTCTTATTTCTAAATCTCTATTATGACACACCATCGAAGATTCTAAATCGATCATTCTTATTGGTCGCCATTCTCTTATTTTGAGATTATCATTGTGAAACACCATATAAGACATCAAAACCCTACCGGAACCTTCATTGACCTCCCGATTGACCATCCCACCAAATGTCATACATCAAAAAAGCATTTTACCCTTCATCTAAAAAGATTTCAAATCAACCATTCTTATTAGCTATCATTTTCTTATTTCCAGATCTTCATTGTGACACCATC